TCATAAAACAATATGTGTACTACTGTTTCATGAGAAACTATTTGTTCTGTAAGCCTTCACCTGAAGTACAATAAAAAATAAACAAATAAAAATAAAAATAAAAAAATCTGCTGGAACTAATAGAAAGATTCAGCAGAGTAGCAGGATATAAGATAAAGATACAAAAATCAGTTGGATTCCTATACACCATTAAAGAGAACTAAGAAAAGGAAATGAAGAAAGCAGTACGATTTAAAATAGCCCCTAAAAAGATAAAATACTTAGGAACAAATCTAACCAGAATGCAAAAGACCTATATAAAGAAACTACAAAATACTACTGCAAGAAACCAATAGAGACCTACATAAATGGAAAAACATACCATGCTCATGGGTAAGTAGACTCAACATTGTGTAAACGTCCATTCTACCCAAAGCAATCTACAAATACAATGTAATCCTGATCCAAACACCAACAGCATTCTTTAACGAGATGGAAAAACTAATCATTAACTTCATATGGAAAGGAAAGAGGCCTGGGATCTTCTAAAAATTAAAACTTAGGCTCATCAATAGACTTCACCCAAAGAGTAAAAAGAGAGCCTACAGACTGGGAAGAAATTTTAGGCTATGATAAATGTGACAAATGTCTAATATCTAAAATCTATAGGAAAATCAATACTTCTACAACAAAAAGATAAATAATCCAATTAAAAAATGGGCAAAGGATGTGTACAGACACTTCATCAAAGAAGACATTCAGACAGCTAACACACACGAGGAAATGGTCGTGATTACTAGCCATTAGAGAAATGCAAATCAAAACTACAATGAGATTTCATGTCACCCTGACATTACTGACACAAATCAAAAACACAGAAAATAACAAATGCTGGAGAGGCTGCAGGGAGTTTGGAACTCTTATGCACTTCTGGTGAAAATGCAAAGTGGTACAACCATTCTGGAAAATGACATGGCGCTTTCTTAAAAAGCTAGAAACAGAAATGCCATACAATCCAGCCATCCTACTACTAGGAATATATCCTAGAGAATTAAGAGCCTTCATATGAATAGACATATGCACTCTCATGTTCAGTGCAGCATTATTCACAATAGCAAAAAGATGGAAACAATCTAAGTGCCCATCAACAGATGAATGGATAAACAAACTATGGTATACACACACAATGGAATACTATACAACAATAAAGAACAATGATTAATTTGTGAAACATCTCAAAACATGGATGAACCTGGAGGGCATGATGCCAAGTGAAATAAGTCAAACACAAAAGGACAAATGCTATATGAGGCTATTATTATAAGAACTCATAAAAAGGTTTACACACAGAAAAAAACAATCTTTGATGGTTTACGAGGGAGGGGAGGGACGGGGAGGGAAAAACGTTAACCAGACAATAGGTAAGTGGTAATTTTGGTGAAGGGTAAGACAGTACACAATACTGGGGAAGTCAGCACAACTTGACCAAAGCAAGGTCATGGAAGCTTCATAGACACATCAAACTCCCTGAGGGACAGAATTACTGAGCTGAGGGCTGGGGACCATGGTCTCAGGGGACATCTAGCTCAACTGACATAACACAGTTTATAAAGAAAATGTTCCATGTCCTACTTTGGTGAGTAGCATCTGGGGTCTTAAAAGTTTGTGAGGGGCCAGCTAAGATACTCCACTGGTCCCACCCTGTCTGGAGCAAGGGTGAAAGAAAAAAACAAAAGACACAACGGAAAGATTAGATCACAACTACCACAGACTCCACCAAACTGAATCCAGCACAACTAGATGGTCCCTAGCTACCACTACCAACTGCTCTGTCAGGGATCGAAATAGATGGCCCCAGACAGAGCTGGAGAAAAACTCAGGACAAAATTCTAACTCGCAAAAAAAAGACTAGACTTACTGGTCTGACAGAGACTAAAGAAACCCCGAGAGTATGGCCCCCGGACATCCTTTTAACTCAGTACTGAAGTCACTCCTGAGGTTCACCACTCAGCCAAAGATCAGACAGCCCCATAAAACAAAACCAACCTAAATGGGCCCACCAGCCCAGGGGCAAGGACAAGAAGTCAGGAGGGGACAAGAAGCTGGTCAGGGGGAATGCAACGTCAAGAAGGGGAGAGTGTTAGACACATCATGGGGTTGGCAACCAATGTCACAAAACAATATGTGTATTAGTTGTTTAATGAGAAACTAATTTGCTCTGTAAACCTTTATCTAAAGCCTCCCCCCCACAAAAAAGCCAACAGAACCCCCAATGAGAAACACCAACTAAGAGGTAACATTCCAACAGAAGGAAGGGTGGGGAAAAGATTCATCTGACTCCTAGACTTATTAACTGTAGAGTGATATAGGGGAAAAAAATTCTGCAAGGGCAGCAGCAAGTAGAAACCATTACTGTTTGTTTTAGATAGCATTTCTACAACTAGAGAAATTAACTGGAACATAGAACTGTTCATAGATGGTGGTTACCAGTATTATTAGTCCCCCTAGAGTCAGACATAGCAAATACAGATGAAGAAGGATCTGTAAGGATCTGGAATTTGGACAAGGTCAGAAGTGGGAAACACTTCTTTACTTGATGATAAAGAGTTCCCCCTAGTGGAGTGGTCCAACAAGAACAATCAATTTTGAGAACCACTGTGACCAGCAAGCACTGAGCTTTAATATACCCTTAGACCCTTACTCCTTCCTTATATCATTAATATTGCTTACAGAAAAAGAAAAAATCCTTCAAAGTTCCCCATACATGGACAAAACTCAGAATGCAGTTAGATAATACTCCAAGGGGCACTTCTAAGAGAAACAGCTCAAAATCTCTCTTGGCCAGCTGTCGGTGGTAGCAGCAAGATCAATAGTGGCAAAGTGCTGGGGAACCATGGAGTTCCCAGCTACAGAACTTAGCAACAGTCAGAAAGAGTGAGGAGGCAAGTGCGGCAATAAGAGTCCAAGTCAGAGCGCTCTTCCTTGCCTGAGGTACCATATAAAAAAATCAAAACAGTGTGGGAAGGTGACAGAGGAGAGAAAAAAAAAACATTAGTAGGAGTAGAGCAGAGTGCTTCTGAATGTGCTTTATAGGCGACACTTACAAGTAATGAAAGAAAGAAATGAAAAGTTGACTCATGCATTGGCGTCTGATGATAGGAACAAATGCATAATTTTAGTCTAAGATAATAACACAGAAGGCAAACACTGTTTTCAACATTCCTTCTTAAAACACCAAGGTCATTATTCAGGATTTTGAAAAGGAATCCTGATAGGCCCAAATGGTAAGGCAGAAATAAACAAAAGGCTGTAAGTAATACCTGCAACTTAGGATTCTAATATGAAGAATTGAGCCTTTCTTTCAGGTTTATTCTCATACAGTTACTTTTATTAAACTCTGGTTTGCACAAAGAGAACAAAAAGAATATTAAAGAAATATTACCTTTCTTGCTTGCAGCATACCCACTGCTATTCACTAACGTGGAATATAGTTGTTCATTTTGTGGTAAGACTCCTGTAGCCATGATAGTCTGTTGGGAAAAAAAAAAAAAAAGGATTATTTTTTTAAAGTCTGCCTTTTGGGTACTCCTTATTAATTATCTGTAATGTGCTAGGCCTGTGGTGTCCAGTTAGCTGATGCAACTACTGTGTACTTGAAACGTGGCTAGTCGAGGCTGAGAGGTGCTGTAAGTGTAAAATAACATACAAGATTTTGAAGACTTTAGCACCAAAAAAAAAAAAAAAAAAACTATTTTTTTAATTCTGGTTACACATTGCAGTGATAATATTTTTTAATATACTGGGTAAAATAAACCACATTATTATTAAAATTCATTTTGTTTCTTTTTATTTTTTTACATGGCTACTAGAAAATCTAAAATTGAATATGTGGGTCTCATGATATTTCTGTTGGACAGTGCTGTACTAGACAGTAAGGACATTACAGAGGAAAGTAAGACATACTTGCCTATGAATTTACAGTCTATGGAGAAGATGAGATGTAGACACAAGCAATGCTAAGAGTCAAAGATAGGCTCAGACAAGTAGGAGGGCTGTTCAACTTGATGGAGTGTGTAAGGTAAGGCTCCAAGGATGAATTAGCATTTGAACTGGATTCAAGCAGTAAAATTTATTGTGGATATGAAGGAGACAGGGTATGCCAGCAGAATTCCTCATTTATTCTTCCTTTAAAAAAAAAAATATTTTATTGTGTTTTAGGTGAAAGTTTACACAACAAATTAGGTTCCCCTTCAAAAATTTTTATACAAATTGTTCCATGCCATTGGTTACAATTTTTACAGTATGTCAGCATCTCATTATTTCCATTCTGTTTGTTCTGTTTCCACTGATCTAGCTTCCCTTCCCATCCTTGCCGTCTCATCTTTGCTTTTGGGTAAATGTTGACCGTTTGGTCTCATACAGTTAATTGTTTAAGGGACCACATTACTCATCGGTGATATTGTATATTTTATCAGCCAATCTATTAATTGGCTGAAAGTTGACCTGCAGAAATAGCTTCAATTCCAAGTTCAAAGGTTATCGTAGGGTGATGGTCTTGGGGGTTCCTCTAGGCTCTGTTGGTCCAATAGGTCTGGCCTTTTCTAGGAATTTGGTTTTGTTTTACATTTTTCTCCCACTGTATCTGGGACCTTCTATTATATCCATGTTCACAAGTCTTGGTAGTGGTAGCCAGGCACCATCTAGCTCTTCTGGTCTCAGGTTAGAAGGCGCTGTGGTTCAGTGTAGGCTGTTAGTCCTGTGGACTAATTTCTTCTTTGAGCCTTTGATTTCCTTCATTCTCTTTTGCTGCAGACGGGAAGAGACCAACAGTTGTATCTTAGATGGCTGCTCACAAGCTTTTAAGACTCCACACGCTACTCACCAAACTAGGATGTAGAACATTATCTTTGTGAAGTATGTTACGTCAATTGACTAAGCTGTTCTCTGAGACTATGGTCCCAAGCCTTTCAACCCAGTAAATCAATCCCATCAGTTGTCTGGATATGTCTCAGAAGACTCTATAACTGTACCCCCTATATGGTTTGTTATACATGTGGATATATATGCAGCACACACAAAAGGGTATATATGTATGCCTATAGATACACCTATACATGCATGTGCATTTACTTGCATATGCCTTTCTATACACATATATGCATCCATATCTACCTATACAACCACACACACATTATTTGGTTGTTTCTACTGATGTTGCAAAACTGTATATTACAGCATTTACCAACACTGTCCCTTTTTCTCGTATAGTTCTTAGTGTCTTTATCTTCCTTGGTCAAGTTGTGCTGACGTAACCCATATTTGGTCTTGCCTTTCCCACACCAAAAGTAACACGTGTCTACTATCTAGAAAGTGATTCTCCCTCCCTCTCCTTCCCATCCTTGGTAACCATCAAAGAACTTTGCTTTCTGTGTGTATATCTATTCTTGACTTTTTATCATAGCAAGACCATACAATATCTGTCTTTTCGTGATTGACTTATTTCACTCAGCATAATGTCCTCCAGATTCATCCATGTTATGTTTTGTGGACTCCTCATTATTCTTTATAGTTGCACAGTATTCCACTGTATATATGTACACAATTTGTTTATCCATTCGTCTGTTGATGGGCACTTAGGTTGTTTCCATCTTTTTGCTATTGTGAATAATGCTACAATGAACACAGGTGTGTCATTTATTCTTTAATAATTCAATTAAGTGAGAATTTATTACATTTATAAGACAATCTATAGTCAAGACTGTTCATCTAGTTCATACTAAATTATAAGGCTAAGTAATTGTTGTGTACTCAAATGGTATAGTTTTCACTGAGGCAAATTAAATAAATCATTTTACATGTTAAAAAATCTCAAATCTATCACATTTCTTAAGCTTCTTGCTATGTACCAGACACAAATATTGAATCACTTTTTCCTAACAAGAATTCTATGACGTGGTTATTAAAAAACAAAACAGGGAGTTCCGGCAAAATGGCGCTCTAGGCAGAAGCACCACGCTGTCCCTCCACAGCAAAGATCCGAAAAACTAAGCCAAACAGAGAATACAACAATCCTGAAATCCTAAAACACCAAATGAGGAAATAAAGAACTCACCCAAGCACCAAATGGACTCAGAATACTGACAGAGAAC